AAAGATACACCGTTTCAAAAATTTCTACATGCACAGTTCAGTGACATCGACTACGCTCTTCCAATTGTGCTGCTATTCTCACTTTAAAAAATGTTTTTTTAAAAAAGAAAATGTAAGATAATGGAAATTCATTTGCCTTTCGTGAAACCTATTTATTTTTCTAAATCCTGACATTTATTCTGGTATATTATCTGATTTTCCTAAATAATACAGTAGAAAGAAAATGAGCCTCTTTTTCCTCATGTACAAATTGGTGATGATAATAACCTCTTTGCATGGTGTTTGTAAGGATTTAAAAGGATCATATTTGTAACATACTTACCTGGTACCTAAAGGTGGTGGTGGTGGTATTATTGTCATCATTATCATTATTATTCCCTGCCTTGTCTGTTGCAGCAGAGTATAGCCTGTACAGTCATTATTAGGGTATATAAATTAGGAGGCAAGGGAAGTACTTGAAGCCAAGAAGCATGGCTAATCTTGCCTTCTTTTTTCTTGAGGTTCAGTTGAAGAGTCAGCTTATAATATACTGAGCATTATGCTGTTGGAGCCCTAGTGGTGCAGTGGCATTCAGCTGCAACCAAAAGGTCAGCAGTTTGAATCTTCCAGCCACTGCTTGGAAACCCTATGGGGCAGTTCTACTCTGTCCTGTAGGATGGCTATGAGTCAGAATCGACTCGACGGCAACAGGTTTGGCTTTGGTTTATTATGCTCTTGGCCACATAGTCATAGTTTGAACCTCCATGTTGGCCAGTTGCCTTCTTTCCATCTGATAGCAGCAGTGCATCCCTAACCATTTCTTGATGATGCACACTAATAGTCATAAAAGAAATCAGATCTAATACAGAACTATTGCCACTTTAAATAATGGTCACAGACATTTCAGAGCCCCTACTGATAGATTATAAAGTCATCTTTATATAACCAGGAATAATGCAGTCAACATTTTCTTGTAGAATCCACTCAACCTGTGTGTGAAGATTGTACAGGGAATCCGGGCCATGGACGTTGATTCTAGCCAGTATTCTTTGGAACTGATCCAAATGGTCCATGCATGCCTTGACCAGGTAGGTGAGACTTATATATTGATTTTAGTTTAGTGTTCTCCCTTCCAGCCTTAGTGTTTGGGGTATAGTGTAGATGAACCCGCACAAAACCACATCTACTTCCCCAGGATAGGATGTATTTGTGGCTGTACGCTTAAGAATAGGCATTGGCAGTTCATGATAGTTGTATGCGTCAGCTAGTAAATTCTTCCTTATTCTTTGTAAGTATTAATTTGTGAAATGGTTTTGCCATCTAAATTGTGCTCCATGTTTTATGATCAAGATTAATTTCTGTAAATTGATTTTGTAAAATTACACTAGGATAATTTAGAGTTCCTAATGTGTAGAATGTATATAGTTCTGTTATCTCACAGTTGGCTTGCTGTGTAGCTCTAGGTCAGTATTAGTCAAAGTATGGTCCATAAACCATAGGCATCAGAATAACGAAGGGATGGGAATGGGTGTACAAGTTAAAAATGGAAATTCCTGGGCTCCATCCCAGACCAGCTGGACCATAATCTTTATGGATGAAGCCCAGAAATCTGCATTTGTGACAAGCACCCAGGTAATTCTTATGTATATATTGAAGTTTGAGAACCACTGCCTAACTGAACAAGTGAGGAAGGTGTATTGGAAACATCCTCGTTCAAATACAAATGTTGGTGATAATGAGATGATCAACATGAAATATGACATAAGAGGTGATGTTCTTTTGAAACATAAGAATAATGTATAGTGAATGGTCTTTGGCTAATTAATCTGCAGCCTCCTCAGGGGAAGTAAAATGCCTCTTTATATCCCATAGTGCCCTACCCTTCAAATGAAAACTAACCCCATTTTTACTTTTTAGGATCCTGAGCAGAGACCCACTGCAGATGAACTTCTGGATCGCCCCCTTCTCAGGAAACGCAGGAGGTAAAGATCACTGGCTATTAGAGGCCTGATCAGAGTACTACAAGAAAGGATGGTGTTTCCTGACTTGACTGCTGTAGTGCTGTTTTCTGCCAACATCTCTGCTTTCACTGCTTGAGGGTTGTTCCTGACTGTCTTAGTCATCTAGTGCTGCTCTAACAGAAATACCACAAGTGAACGGCTTTAACAAAGAGAAGTTTATTCTCTCACAGTCCAGTAGACTACAAGTCCAAATTCAGGGCATCAGCTCCAGGAGAAGGCTTTCTCTTTCTGTTGGCCCTGGAGGAAGGTCCCTGTGATGCATCAGTCTTCCCTTGGTCTGGGAGCTTCTCTGCACAGGATCCGTGGGTCCAAAGGATATGCTTTGCTCCCGGCACTGCTTTCTTGGTGGTATGAGGTCCCCATGTGTCTCTGCTCACTTCTCTTTTATATCTCAAAAGAGACTGGCATAAGACACTATCCAATCTTGTATACCTCAGGCACTTATCTTATTATACCATAATGATAGAGTTTACAACACATAAGGAAGTCACATCAGATTGCAGAATGGTACACAGTCATACAGTACTGGGAATCATGACTCAGCCAAGTTGACAGATATTTTTGGGGGACACAATTCAATCCATGACACTCCACCCTTTGGCCCCCAAAAATTCATGGCCTCGCCACGTGTAATACATATTCACCTCATCATATCATAGCAAAGGTCTTAACTCCAAGTCCAAAATCCAAGAATTCCTCTTCATCTGTGAAATCTAGAGTACAAATTATCTGCTTCCAAAGGTACAATGGCAGAGCAGGCACAAGCTAGACATTTCCATTACGAATGGGAGAAACTGGAAGCAAAGAAGGGGTAACAGGCTCCAAACAAGTCATTAGCCCTGAAGGCTGTGCATTACATTAGCCCTGAAGGTTTTGCAAATAATCCTCTGTTCTCTGAGACAGTTTACACAATAGCCCTGCCCTCCAGACTCTAGGTATTAGCCACACTCTGCGGATTCTGAGGGGTCTTATTCTGAGTGGAGACCCCTCGGCCCTGGGCTTCAGCTCTGCCTTCCAGGCCCACTGGGATGGCAACTCTGCTCCCTCAGATTTAGGCACACCATTCTCCTAGTTCATCTGAATGGGGACTCCACCCTTAGAAACACCAGAGGCCGTGGCTCCACCCTTTGAAACCCCAGAGGTCTTGGCCATACCTTTTGTGACTGAGGCAGCTTTGCTTCTTGTGTTCCTTGTCTCTTCATCTTCTGCTTCCTGTGGCCTCTTGGCCCTCAGGCCTCATACCCGCATCTGCCCTGCTGGGGCAAATGTTCCAAAGCTCTGTAGCTCCACTGATAAGTGCCTGGAGGCACCCCACTCTGCCAGACCCTCCTGTGCACAGGCACTAATAAACTCTTGCTCCATGGGTCAGCAAGCCTACCTCCGCAGATGAGTGCCTGGAGGCACCCTACTCTGCCAGGATGGAGGCACCCTACTCTGCCAGGAAGCCTCCTGCGCACAGGCACTCAGCTCTCTTACTCCATGGGTCAGCGCCAGTGCTGTCTGGTGCTGGTCTCCTGGTTCTGCTGCTGCCACTTCTCTGCTCCTGCTGGTCCTCTGCCACTGCTTCTCCACTATCCATTCACAGTTTCAAAACCACTTCCACATTTTAGGTTTCCGTTAGAGCAACACACTACTCTCAGTACCAAATTCTGTCTTAGTCATCTAGTGCACTGCTGTAACAGAAATACCACAAGTGGATGGCTTTAACAAAGAGAAGTTTATGCTCTCACAGTCCAGTAGGCTACAAGTCCAAATTCAGGGCATCAGCTCCAGGAGAAGGCTTTCTCTCTCTGTTGGCCCTGGAGGAAGGTCCCTGTGATGCATCAGTCTTCCCTTGGTCTGGGAGCTTCTCTGCACAGGAACCCCGGGTCCAAAGGACACGCTCTGCTTCCGGCACTGCTTTCTTCATGGTATGAGGTCCCTGTGTGTCTCAGCTCCCTTCTCTCTTTTATATCTCAAAAGAGATTGGCATAAGACACTATCCAATCTTGTATACCTCATCAGTGTAACTGCTGCTAATCCAATTTATTATATCATAGTGATAGAGTTTACAACACATAAGGAGATCACATCAGATTACAAAATGGTACACAATCATATAGTACTGGGAATCTTGACCTAGCCGAGTTGACAGATATTTTAGGGGGACACAATTAAATCCATGACACTGACTTTCACTCCTTAGCCTGTGCTGTTTTATTCTAAATGTGTACTAATGAGACCCAGGAGCCCTGTACTCACCCATCTGTGGGTTTTAATCTAGACTTGAGGTATTAGAGTGTGGTAATTAGGAGAGAAGGCTCTGGATTCAGACATCCTTAGGTTTGTTTCTGAGTTCTGTCATTATCTTGGTCAAGTTATTTAGCATTTCTCTTCCTTAGTTTTCTCCTCTTATAAAATGAGGTAGGGTGAGGAGGATTGAAGGAGGTAATGCATATACAGTGCTCAGTTTACAAGGTGCTCAACTATTGTTGCGAAGTGAGTTTGGATTGGACTTTCATTTTTTAGTGCATTTGTTTAGATGGTAGATTGGAATTGAAGTAGTCCTCTTCAGATACGTTTTCCTCATTTCTCAAGGTTAGGCTTGGTTTATTTCCTGAGATTTATTCTGTCTCAGAGGTCCCCAGAGGTGGGAAGAAATGTCCTTTATGCCTCACTCGCTTCATGGAGGAGACTTCAAACCCTAACTTAATGGAAGAGGTGTTCTTTATCCTTCTTAAATTTTTCAATCTGTATTTTATTCTACTATACTATTTCTGCCTTACTACCTCTCTTCCCCACCACTCATCTGTCAGTGTGTCATACTATGGTGGCTTACGTGTTGTTGATGTACATAGGGTTGCTATGAGTTGGAATTGACTCGACAGCACCTAAGAACAACAACCCTTCTTCCTCCACTACCAGGTCTCTGTTCTTACATCCTCCAAATAATGCTCTTTCTCAGGTCTTCCCCTTAGACCTGTACACTGAATTCTGTAATCTTTGTTGTTTGCTTGGTACCTTTATCCTCTTGTGTCGTTTAATTAATCTTTTCTGACTCTTTAGTTGGTCTCTAGCCAGTGCCAAGAATTGTGTGTAATACTCCAGATACCCGCACCATGACCTTCCATTTCTAGTCTGTGCATATTCAGGCAGTATTACCCATTGGGGCTGGTTAAGCATATGTAAAGTTTTTATCTGGCTTATTTCCCAACAGAATAATCATTGTTTTAATCTCTTGTTGAAATATTCCCATTGATAATTTTTTAATTGAAATTTTATTGAGATAATTGTAGATTTACATTCCATTATTAAAAATAAATAAAGGGAGATCTTTCTATACTTTGCACAGTTTCCCCCAGTGGTAGCACTTTACAGAACTATAGTATACTATCACAACTAGGATATTGACATTGATACAGTCCACCAGTTTTATTCATGTTTTCTCTGTACTTTTTTGTGTGTGTCTGTGTGTGGGTAAGATAATTTATTTAAGAGATTTTTTTTTTATTGTATTTGGGTGAATTTGTCACTCTCCCCTTCCCCTTTATTTTAATATCACCTGATATTCTGTCTTTATTTTCTTTTGTCCGTTCATTTTTTTTTCTAAATTTTATTTAATTTGTTGTCGTTGAGAATATACACAGCAAAACATACACCATTCAGCAGTTTCTGCGTGTAGACTTTAGTGACATTGATTACTGTATTTTATGGAAAAAACGTGCTCCCTCTACATTTGTTTGCATACCACACCATCCCCCCACGAGGTATTTTCATAAGCGTGATACGCTAATTTTTTTTTTTACAGCAACATGTAAAAAAAAGAAATTGGCACAGTGGTGAGTTGTGCAGCCATTCTCACCCTCCTTTTCTGAGTTATTCCTCCCTAATTAACATAAACTTACTGCCCCCTAAGGTTCCTATCTCATCTTTCAAGTTGCTGATGTCAATTTGATCCCATATAGATAGTTCTTAAAAGATCTTTTTTACCAGTTAAGCTAAGCTGTTGTTTGGTTTTAAGATGACTTCAAGGTATATTTTTGGTTTAAGGTGTAAAGATTATCTCAGGACAGTTGTTTCAGGGGTTTATCCACCCTCCATGGCTCCAGAAAATCTAGAGTCCATGCAAATATGACATTCCGTTCTGCATTTTCCCCCTTTTAATCAGGTTTCCTCTATGGAATCTTTGATCAAAATGTTCAGTAATGGTAGCTGGGCACCATCCAGCTCTTCTGGTCTCATGGCAAAGGAGGCAATTAGCCATACATTCCATATCCTCCTCCTTTTCTTGTCTCTCCTTCCTCCTCTGTTGCTTCAGGTGAATAGAGACCAATTGTGGTGCCTTGGATGGCTGCTTGCAAGCTTTTAAGACCCCAAGCACTACGCAACAAACTAGGAGGTAGAACAGAAGCACTAAACATGTTATTAGGCCAATTAACTGGGATGTCCCATGAAACCATGACCCTAAACCTCCAAACCAAGGAACCAAATCCCATAAGGTGTTTGGTTGTACGTAAGCAGCCTCAGTAGCTACTCTTTTTTTTTTTTTTGTCATTGTAAATATATCTATCACACAACTTCGACCAATTCAACTTTTTACAGGTGTGCAACTTATGGAAAGCACTTACAGTAATTGGCTGTACAACCTTGCCCTTAATCAATGTGGTTTTTCCATTGCCGTTAACCCTCCTTTTCCCGCTCCCTCCCACCTCTGTTAACTACTAATAAACTGGTCTCTATACATGAGTTTTCTTTTTGTTTTATGTAAGTGAGGTTATACAATATTTGTCTTTTTGTGGTTGGCTTATTTCATTCAGCATAATGTCTTGCAGCTCCATCCATATTGTAGCATGTGTCAAGACTTCATTTCTCCTGTTGGCTGTGTAGTATTCCGTTGTATATATGTGCCACATTTTGTTTATCCATTCATCTGCTGATGGGCATTTAGATTGTTTCCACCTTTTGGCTATTGTGAATAATGC